CCCCCAACTGTGTCTCATGGGGCCTTTTCAGACTTGTGTTTCCTGACCATCTCCCTGCCCCAACCCCCACTCCCACCACTTGGGCCATAAAGTTTTACTACGGTAGAGAGTATTCAGTATATCTGTTTAAATACAATGGCCCTTTGGAGAGCTATAGACCATTGTATTATCCAAGTTCTTATTAGCTCTTCCCAAAACGATGTTAACCTATTTTCTGGGTGAGATCACTCCCACATGAATGAATGCATATAATCAGTTCCCCCTTCTACTTCTGTGGACCAGAGTTGGTTTCTCTGGTTTACAACTATGAACCTAGAGAAGTAAACCCATTCTGTGTCTTGGCACATTAAGGCAGAGGAATGGGGAAGTTTTATAAAGGAAAAAAGGGAAGGCAATTGGAGGCTGCTGGCATGAGGAAGCTATAAGGCAGACTGAATAGTAGGGCATCCAGGATGATTGACTAACCATGGATGTTTGACTTTCTCTGGCTGGTCCCAGGTTAGAAGACAGATAGAGAAGCTGTCAGTTATCATTCAAGTTCTGGCCATTTGGGGTTGATTATTGTGGAAGTTACTGTTTGGTTTCCTGGATTGTTGCTAGAGATAGCAGTCTGACCTTCTGTGCCTCCCACTTCCTGGGCCCGTTATGGTAGCTAAGGAGGGGGTTTCCTGGGCAGTTGCTGCAGGTGATGGGTCAGAGCCTAGTTTTACATACATCCTAGTCATTGTCCCTTTGTTCAGTCTCTCAACCTCAACCCAGGACGTCACACAGGACCAGAAATACCTCAGCAGCCATGAGTTTGGAGGAGGACCAGTCTAGCCTCCCCACATCAGAGATCAGTAAGGGCGCAGTGGATCTGTATGGATCTGAGAACACGCCTCCTTAGCCGATACGCTGACTATACCTGGAAAGATGACCTTTCAGAAAGGGAAGCGCCAGAGGTTGGCAAGGTCATTACAAAGACGCTGTAGTCTTTCCTTGTCCTCCTTTTAGGCACCTGGAGTCTGCTGCTCAATGGCCTCTTTAGCTCAAAGCAAAGACTCTGAAGTTGCTCATTTGTACTTTATTTCAAATTAGGATATGCCTTGTTCTCATTCATCTATATACTGTTTACTGTTTATTATTTTATAATTATTAAGTTATTTACTCATGAAACAGGAAGTTTTATCTAATTTTAAGATTATAGGTCCTTTGTATAAGTCTTGAAATCACAGCACATAAGCAGTCAGTAAGCTTTTAAGTGACTTTTAGGTTAACACTTAGGAAATTGTCAATATTCAGTAGTTTTTGCTCCACAATTTGGTGATTTCAAAGAGTCCAACCAAAAAACAACCTAGCCTCATGAGTTTTATTCTAGGAACCAACTGGACAACTGGAAAGCACTTGTAAAAACTTGTAAGGCCAATTTAAAATTCTTGTTTTTATTTAAGAATCCGACCCCCCTCAACACACACACACACACACACACACACACACACAACTAAATCCTGCTATTAATTTTTTTAGAGTATATTGGAAGAAATTTTAAAAGCATGTGCATGCCTGCTCAGTTGCTTCAGTCATGTCTGACTCTTTGTGACCCTTTGGACTACAGCCGGCCAAGCTCATCTGTCCATGGGATTCTCCAGGCAAGGATACTGGAGTGGGTTGCTGTGCTCCCCTCTTTAAAAGCACATTTCTCTCTAATTAGCAGAGGGACTTAACTAAAACTGGGGAGCAAATTTGTGAACCACACTTTACATCTTCTTTCATTTTTCCACTCTTGAGTTGAGACTTTTTTTTTAGACCTCAAAGTGATGCATTTTGAATTCCCCGTCAAGATAGAGTGATAATTAAGAAAATTAAATTTAATCTCCTCTGCAGAGATTTGGCCTAGGAAAGGCAGAGGGAGATTGGAAACAATGTTGTTAGATTCTGTAAAGAGATCTAGAAGCCAATATTAGGTAAACCACAACTAGTTACAGGTTTCTCCCTGGCTGTCAAATTTAGGGGCAGCCATGACAACCGCCTGATGTTGAAGAGTGTTTGCCATTGATTTTCTAATGTGCTAGTGGAAATCTTGTCAGCCACTGTCAATTTAAAGCCCCCTGTAATTACACTTTTAACGAGAGAGATTCTAATCGTATTTTCTATGCCAAAGCCTTGTCCCCAAATACTGTTCCCTGGTAAATCAGAAGAGAGGCTGCAGCAATTGCTCTCAGGAGGAGTGTGTAAGGCTCCCTGAAGAATTCTCCTTTAATTAATGAATTACATGCTACATCCCTCTGATGGAGGCCATCTCCATCATTTTCATTTCCTACTGAAGTGAAAACCTTTCAAGTGCAAGACAAGTTCAAGGTTTGGGAATGTTATCAGTGGAGTTACTAAATTCCAAACTGTGCTGTCTACCAGATGACATCACATTTTTGAGGTTATAGAGGTAAGGATACTCTACAGACATAACCATGAAAGATTTTGTTTTTTAAAAAATATTTACTTATTTACTTGTCTGTGCTGGGTCTTAGTTGTGGCACATGGCATCTAGTTCCCTGACCAGGGATGGAACCCGGGCCCCCTGCATTGGGAGCCCACAGCCTTAGCCACTGGACCACCAGGGAAGTCCCAACCATGAAGTTCTGATTCCCCTTGATTCAGATTTTCTTAGACATCTCACTTAGCATCTATCACTACTTCTTCCACTCTCTTGGCACTTAGTCAGAAGCAGTCTCGTGATACCTGTTACACCTGTGATATCTGTTAATGTTTCTTATTTCTTTCACATTGTTAATCCAGTGAGAGAAAAAACCATATGTTCTACCCTAGAGCAGCTATTTCAGTGCTGGCTGTAAATACATGTCTGTTGGCTAGTAAGTGAGCCTTCATCTACACTCCTAGGACTACATACTGTCAACTGGAAAAAAAGAAGAACAACCTAAAAGTTGAGAATTATGGGGTTCTTTGGAGGACAAAATTGAGGGCTTAAGCCTGTGACATGGCATCTCAGATAGTTCTGAGAGACTGTTCTAAAGAGGTAGGGAGGAACCAGGATACATAGTGGTTTTTGCGACAAAGACCAGGTAGTTGGAACATCTAAAGGTTACTATTCATTAAAGAAAAACAGACATCTCAAGTTAAAGAATTTAGCCAGTTTCTATGTATGGGAATATGCAAGAGTCTGGACTCACTGAAATCATTCCTTTCATAGGCGCCTCAGCTATCTGGGGCCAGTTTCCTGTGTTTTCTCATCCTGAGTCTCCTCAAGGTGCACCTTTGGGGGGTTGGTTGATGGCTTGATGGTGGGCATCCTGCTTCCATCCTGAGTTCCCTCAGGGCTCAGCATCAGGGTGGTTGTATTGTGATAGCTACAGCATCCTTTGTTTACTGATATGGCAGGCAATATTTTTCATTCACAATATGATGCCAAGAACACAGCATTGATCTCAAGTTGACATTACTCCTAAGAGGTATTGACTTGAATCCTGGATTTAAAGTCCAGGTGTTAAGTTTGATATTTTTCTCAAAATAATGAGGGAGTTTTGAGAAGCAAGTGGAAAGAAAACTGTTTTATGCACAAACAGTTAGAAAAGCACATGGGCCCTTAACCAAGGATAGATGATTGTCAGATGCAAGAGTGAGGGGAAAGCAGAGGGCGAACACAGGCAGCGTCCTGTGTCCTCCCTTGGAAGGAAGCCCTGGGGTCCTGGCCTTTTGGCATCCTTCCTGCTCACAATGCCTGCTGTGTGCCACAAAGCAGATTTTGCTCTGGCCCCTTGGCACGATCTCCTCCTGTGAATTCTCTTATAATGTCTCTATAATGTTCCTGTACACCAAAGAAATATTAAACCCAAGATATCCCAGGACAAGTCAGAAAGAAACCTCACCCTCTGCTTCACCCCTGAGGGCCAAACATTCAATTTCAGAGTTTGGCACTGAAAAAAGGAAAAGGCCATGTAAAGAAAAACAAACCAAACAAAACAGCCCACTGGTTCTTTGTCCCTTTTTGTTCCTTCTTTGTTCAAAATGAAAATTTTGCTTTGGAAATAAAAGACAAATAAAATCTCCAGAAAACATATAAAACCCTTCTCAGTTTGCTTCCAGCCCTGAGCCTCCCTTCGCTGCCCATTATAGGAGTAAAAACCTCCAAACCCTGACAAATAAATCATTCTGAAAGCTGGGGCTTCCCAAGGGTAACATCAGAGATTATCAGTCAGGCAGAAATGTTAACATCCATTTTCCCAACGTTGTGAGGCCTTTTGTTAGTGCCTTTTCTTCTTTCTTTCTTTGCAGAAAAGGCACAGTGCCCTGCATTATTGGGACATTTTATGCAAATAGCAGTTAACCGTGTGAAAGAGCTCCATCAGTCTCTGTGACCCAGGCAAAGGCCCCTTGGAAGGATTTTCAGCCCACTGCTGAGCCAAAAGCATGGATACATGATGTGTCCACTCCCAGGTGAAAATGGCAGGCTTTGAACAGGCTGAGCTCTCAGTGGTGGTCCAGGTAAGGGAAGACTCTACCAACAGCAGAAGAGGGACTCTTCCCTCCCTTCTCCATTCCTGAGGCTAAGATATCCCAGGACAAGTCAGAAAGAAACCTCACCCTCTGCTTCACCCCTGAGGGCCAAACATTCAATTTCAGAGTTTGGCACTGAAAAAAGGAAAAGGCCATGTAAAGAAAAACAAACCAAACAAAACAGCCCACTGGTTCTTTGTCCCTTTTTGTTCCTTCTTTGTTCAAAATGAAAATTTTGCTTTGGAAATAAAAGACAAATAAAATCTACAGAAAACATATAAAACCCTTCTCAGTTTGCTTCCAGCCCTGAGCCTCCCTTCGCTGCCCATTATAGGAGTAAAAACCTCCAAACCCTGACAAATAAATCATTCTGAAAGCTGGGGCTTCCCAAGGGTAACATCAGAGATTATCAGTCAGGCAGAAATGTTAACATCCATTTTCCCAACGTTGTGAGGCCTTTTGTTAGTGCCTTTTCTTCTTTCTTTCTTTGCAGAAAAGGCACAGTGCCCTGCATTATTGGGACATTTTATGCAAATAGCAGTTAACCGTGTGAAAGAGCTCCATCAGTCTCTGTGACCCAGGCAAAGGCCCCTTGGAAGGATTTTCAGCCCACTGCTGAGCCAAAAGCATGGATACACGATGTGTCCACTCGCAGGTGAAAATGGCAGGCTTTGAACAGGCTGAGCTCTCAGTGGTGGTCCAGGTAAGGGAAGACTCTACCAACAGCAGAAGAGGGACTCTTCCCTCCCTTCTCCATTCCTGAGGCTAAAAATCATGTCAGATCCCGGGTCAGTCTACCCCTGGGATCCTGGGATTTCAGAGCTCAAAGCACCTCTCCTTTTAGCTACTTATATCAGTAGGGAAACTGAAGCCTGGAAAGGAATGGGACTTGCCCAAAGTCAGAGGGTCCATTCATAGTGAATCAGGACCAGAAACTATGCTTGCTGGGCCATATATGGCCTGTATTCATTCATTTCTTTAATAAGTAAACATATCAAGGTTGGAGCACTGTGCAGGGTTCTGGAGAGAGAACCATGAGTGAGATGCAGTCCACACCTCTGGAAGGTGCTTGCAGTTCACAAGTGGAAGCCAGAGTGAAAACTAGATGTAATGACAACACACTGAAACTCACTGCCTATCACTGGGGGCTGGTTAAATAATTTGTGGTGCATCTAAATTGCGGAATAGCGAGCAGGGGTTCAAACATTCCTGGGCAGACCTATTGGACTGATGGTGTAAAGATTTTCAAGTTATATCCATGGGTTAAAAAAAGCAAAATATTTCTCAAATGTAAAATGAGGGATCAAACTTGATCAGTGGCTTTCCAGCCTTTTTAACACAAAGTACTCTTGCTGTGGTTGTTCAGTCGCTCAGCCATGTCTGACTTTTTGTGACCCCATCGACTGTAGCCCACCAGGCCTCTCTGTCCATGGGATTTCCCAGCACAAATGGGTTGCCATTTCCTTCTCCAGGGGATCTTCCTGACCCAGGAATTGAACCTGTGTCTCTTGCATCTCTTGCATTGGCAAGTAGATTTTTTACCACTGAGCGAGTGTAAAACAAATTGTAATATAATATATATAACATAAAATTTACCACTTTAACAATTTCAAGTGTACAATTCAATGGTACCAAGTACATTCACATTGTTGAGCAACCATCACCACTATCTGTCTCCAGAACTTTTTCATCTCTCCAAACTGAAACTCTGTATCCATTAAACATTAACCTTCCATTCTTCCTCCACCCCTTGCAGGCCCTGACAACCACTATTCTACTTCCCATCTCTATTAATTCAACTACTCTAGGTGCTTCCTGTAAGTAGGATCATGCAGTATTTGTCCATTTGTGACTGGCTTATGTCACTCAGCATGATGTCTTCAGGTTTATCTATGTTGTAGCATTTGCAGAATTTCATTCCTTTTTCAGGCTGCATAATATTCTCTTATATAACTGGACCATATTTTGTTTCTCTAGTCATCTCTCAACAGACAGTTTGGGTTGCTTCCACGTTTTGGCTGTTGTGAATGATGCTGTTATAAGCCTGGGTATGCAAATATTTCTTCTTCTTCCTTTCAATTATTTTGGTTATGTTCCAGAAGTGGAATCGCTGAATCATATAATAATTCTATTTTTAACTTTTTAAGAATCCTCCATACTGTTTTTCATAGTGGCTATACCATTTTACATTCTCACCAGCAATACACAAGAGTTCTAATTTCAGAAATTAAAAATTAGTATTGTTGTCAATACTTATTATTTTCTGCTTTTCTTTTTTAAACAGCCATCCTAATGGCTGTGAAATGATATCTCATTGTGGTTTTGATCTGCATTTCCCTAATGATTAGTGATGTTGAACATCTTTTCGTGTGCATATTGGCCATTTGTGTATCTTCCTTGGAGAAATGTCTATTCAAATTCTTTGCCCATATTTTAATTAGGTTATCAGGATTGTTGTTGTTGAAAAAGCTTTGGAAGCTGCTACCTTTAATGAAATTGTACGTCAAAGCCCAATATACGAAATAAGAAGATTCATGTGGAGGGCCTAAGGCTCTGACCCAGATCCATTCAAGGGCTTCACAACTCTGTCCCCTCTGTCCTATGCCTCCCCCCAATAGGAGGCGCCTATGGAACACCTCCATGAAAGCCTCAGGGCCCATGGAACTACGCAGGTTTGAAAACCATTAGACAAGATAACTTCTAGACTACCTCCCTGGTAATACGCTGCACTGACATGAAAAACCACAGAAGTTTAATCTGCAAAAAGGTGAATCTACTTAGAGAAAAAGAACTTTCATCAATATTTATTTTCAAAAGGCTCATTGTGATCTTCACTTTCTTCCAAAGAGACTCTTTGGTTTAACATGTGAGTCAGATTCAGGCAATATTCTGAAACACTGTGAAGATATTGTCTTGGTCATGTTACCAGATTCTTGTAGTTACCACATTCTTTTTCTCCTTTATTTCAGCATAGTCTTTGACATAGGTGCTTGGTTAAGTCTGTTTGCAAAGTTTTTAAAACTAATAATCTATAAGATATATCCCTGTAATACATGTATTGCAAACTTTTTCTTAATTTTCCTTCCTTCCGTGTATCTACCTCACCTCCTTTGGCACTGTGACTTAGTGGCTCCTCCCATCAAGAAGTGGAAGCTCTTGTTCCATCCTTGAGTCTGGCCTTTGATCATTGGCTTTGATCAATAGGTTATGGTAAAGATGGTGTTGGGCCAGTTTTGAGCCTTATTTCTGCTCTCATTCTTGAAATCCTAACCAGCCACAGTGAAAACAAGCCTGACCTAGCTTGCTGATCATGAGAATCAAGTGGTTCCATCACCTTGTTGCCCTGACTCACAAGCAACCAACAGCCAAGTGGGTCACTGAAGCTCTCCTAGCTCATCCAGCCCCTGCCTCCCTATCCACAGATAATGGAGGAGCCCAGTGAAGATCCACACAATTGCCCAACTGGCCCATAAATTCAGGAGCAAGGATGAATACTTCTTGTCAATGAAATTTTGTGTGGTTTGTTCTAGTGATAAATAACTGGTGTCAGAAACCATGGAAGGGCCTAGAAAGAATGTCTCATTTAATAAAACTCAGAAATGGATAGAAACGAGTATTGGGAGTCCACCATGGAAACATACCTTAGTGGAGTTTGGTCCCCTAACCTCATGTGCTTGCATTTGATAACTCACATTTCTATACGGCATCTTCAAGTTTCACCAGCAATATTTCACATAAAATATCATCTGAAGTCATTTCAGAGAGTTTATGCTTTTTTCCTATTTGACTATAAACTGTAGTTAAAAACAAAAACAGTCAGAAGCAACATTATATATGATGCCCTTTCCAAATCAGAGAGCAGAGGTCTATAGTTGATTAAGCTTTCAGCATCCCTAAATATGTGCTGTTCCTGCAAAGATATCAATATATGTTCTTTCTGTGGAACAAGCAAGGGTCTGGCCTCATTGGTGTCAATAGTTCAGTTCATCCCCCCCACAGTCATTACCATGGTTAATTATAGGCCAGCACTCCCCAGTGTCAGATGATCACCGCGGCTCAGCCTTCTGGCTCCCATCTTTCCAAAGGCTGGGAGGTCTTCCTTTAGAAAGAGTTAAGCAGGAAGAAGAAAAGTGAGACTAATTTATGCAAATGTGTGCGACATCAATCAGATTGTGTCTGCCAGATAGCACAAATAGCTGGGCTGATTTAGTGCTTTCCCACTCCTCAGAAAGAGTAACAGACACCAGCTCTTTAGTTTGGTGGCCGTGTACCTGAGTCATCAAGTAGATTTCATCACAATAGTTTGTTTCTTCACCTTTAAAAATAAACATGCATGATTCAATCTAATAAATTGAACAAGTAAACCCACAATGGGAGCTTCAGGGCTTGGAATAAATTAACCAACCATACAGAAAGTTAGAATCAGGAAAATTTTAACTTAAGATAGAGTAGAATTAAAAATAATTTTATAATGAAAAAAAGAAAGTAAGAGCTTTGTTAACATTGATACATATCACAGAAAGATGGGAGAATGGGTTTACCTGAAAGGAAGCAATCAATTTTTGTGAACTTTATAAGCTCAATGGCAGTAGAATAATGGTGATTGAAACCAAATAAGAGTGGCTTTAAGAAATGAATGGGAATTGATTAAAGACAGTAAGAATGTTTATAGGAAACTTAGGTAGGAAAGATAAGAAATGCAGATGTAGCTGAAGGGGCATGGCAGGTCAAGAAAAGGATTTTTTAGTTGTTGAGCAGAGTAATGAATCACAGAAGCATGACTAACTCAGATCAGTGTGTAGAGAGTGAAGATTTCAGTGAGAAAGGGAGCAAAGGATAGTTCTAAAACAGGCAGTGGGGAAAGGGGATTCAGAACGTGTATATACAACAGGTTAAAACTTATACCCCAAGTGTTTAAATGTGTAACTTTAACTCCTTTTCTGTAATAGAACCTAGATTAGTTTATAAGCCCCATTTCAACTCAGAACCTGTGTCACTTTTGGATTAGAGTCAATTCAAGATTTAAACTCAGGCAGGTGAATATTAAAGACTGTCCTCTTTGCTCTTCTCACCTCTTCCCCTGGAGGGACCAGAGTTTCCCACAGGTCTGTCTGCTGTCCAGGCACCTTGTCTCCACTGCAGGGCAGGTGGATGCACCTGACCAGGGGCATCATCATGCCACATCAGATGCTACTGACGTCTGTGGTCCCACCACAGTTTCTGGTCTCATGTTCCATCTGCTCTGCATTCTCCCCAACTAGACCTTACTGCTCAATCACATTCTGGAAATCAGAGGACCCTCACTAGCCCTACATCATACCCTCAGGCCCACTCATCTACTCACCACAATACCGGCATTGCCTATCCATTGTATTGTACGCAAATGGATGGATAACTTACCTATGAGGCTTCTAGAGTCCCCCGCTAAATCCTGTAAACCACGCAATAGTCCCCTTTGTCTTGAATCCCTTGAACTTTTCTGGGGGTTTATGATGCTTCCCCATGAAGCAGCTGGGAGACCCTCCTCTCAAGGAGCTTCTAGCTATTAAACTCCAGCTGCTTGCCTCCATACTCCCCATTGGACCAGCTGCAGGAATATTCATAGTCATTCCCAGTGGGCAGATGCTGCTCATTGCATTTGGAGGAAGAAGTATTCCAGTCTTAATTCTTTAATTAGTTAAAAATTATTGAAAGTGGCTAAGTCTGAAATCCACTCAAGAATCTAGAATAGAACCATCTGAATAGACTAAAAGTTGGAAATAGGCATAGGTTTTTGTTTTATTTTTTAAGCAGTCAATATGATCACTATGATCCCAATGGACTTTCCTCAAATTCCATTCATCAGCCCTGGAGGCCCTTGTCCTTCCTGTTATAGAAAGCCATGTCTCAGTTGGCATCTTACCCATGTCAACAAAACTATCAAGAATCAAGAGAGGTCTGAGATTTTACTCTACCTGCAAACTAACAAGTTCACTTATGATCATGGATGTTGACATTAGACATGAGACTCCTGGGCCAGAGACAATGAACTGTATTACAGCAACAGCAGTAGCTAGAGCATTAGCATTGTCTTGCACTGATTCTCTAAGTCTCAAAGCTCGCTGAATGGCATGAGGAGAGTCGGCCGTCTCCTTCAGATGAAGTGGATTGGGTTACAAGAGAGGAACAACTGTTTATTACTATAGATGTAGGGAGGGGTTGAAAGAGGCTGCTCTTGAACAGAAATGTGGCATGGATGAATTTGAGTAAACTCCGGGAGTTGGTGATGGACAGGAAGGCCTGGTGTGCTGCAGTTCCTGGGGTCACAAAGAGTCGGACATGACTGAGTGACTGAACTGAATTGTCTCAGTCATGCCATGGCACTTAATGCATCTGATGTCCATATCTGAATCAAAGTCCTACAGGAGAAATTCTCCCTAAGGCAGTAGACAAAGCACTTGTTTCCAGAGACAGAGACCAGGGAAAGTTGAATCTCTGATCTGGCTAAACTAGTTCTTAGAAACAGTTTGATTTAAAGAGAAAAAGTGGTCCCTCTGTCATCATCGTTCTAAATCACCCTTAATGGTTTTTCCTCCAAAGTCCCTGGAATATTAGTTTCTCTACATTCCCAGAGACTAGCCTGAGACTAGCTCTGATTCACCCTCTTTCATTTTCACTTTGTCTGATTTTAGTTGGCCTTATCTATTCTGAGGAAGTCAGTTACCTTGTGTAGATTGCTACTATATCAATGCAGTTGCTCCCCATTTATTGGCATACCGAATTCACAGTCACTCCTAGTTCAGGTTGGTTTTATGATTTGCTAAAGGCTGTGTCATATGACATATCCTCTCTAGAAAAGAAGAATTAACCTTCCAACTATGAACTTTGGCACATGATGAGCCGTTCATAAATATTTATTGAATGAATGAATGAATAAGATAGATAAGAAACTAAGGGACCTATGCTGATAGTGGTTAATGATAATATGTCTTTATTTGTAAATAGGGCTTTTATAGACTAGAGTTTGAGATGAACTATCCTTCATACCATAAATGTGCTGATACTCTACTCTCAACGCTGTTTCCTCCCATGCTGGTGATGAATCTGTAGTCAGTGTCCTACCATTACTCTTTTAGCTGGGCTTCCTTGTGAAATGAATGGCATACATTAGTGGGTAAACAGATGCTTTGTTTCCATTCATCAGCCCTGGAGGCCCTTGTCCTTCCTGTTATAGAAAGCCATGTCTCAGTTGGCATCTTACCCATGTCAACAAAACTATCAAGAATCAAGAGAGGTCTGAGATTTTACTCTACCTGCAAACTAACAAGTTCACTTATGATCATGGATGTTGACATAAGACATGAGACTCCTGGGCCAGAGACAATGAACTGTATTACAGCAACAGCAGTAGCTAGAGCATTAGCATTGTCTTGCACCGATTCTCTAAGTCTCAAAGCTCGCTGAATGGCATGAGGAGAGTCGGCCGTCTCCTTCAGATGAAGTGGATTGGGTTACAAGAGAGGAACAACTGTTTATTACTATAGATGTAGGGAGGGGTTGAAAGAGGCTGCTCTTGAACAGAAATGTGGCATGGATGAATTTGAGTAAACTCCGGGAGTTGGTGATGGACAGGAAGGCCTGGTGTGCTGCAGTTCCTGGGGTCACAAAGAGTCGGACACTGAACTGAATTGTCTCAGTCATGCCATGGCACTTAATGCATCTGATGTCCATATCTGAATCAAAGTCCTACAGGAGAAAAGTCTCCCTAAGGCAGTAGACAAAGCACTTGTTTCCAGAGACAGAGACCAGGGAAAGTTGAATCTCTGATCTGGCTAAACTAGTTCTTAGAAACAGTTTGATTTAAAGAGAAAAAGTGGTCCCTCTGTCATCATCGTTCTAAATCACCCTTAATGGTTTTTCCTCCAAAGTCCCTGGAATATTAGTTTCTCTACATTCCCAGAGACTAGCCTGAGACTAGCTCTGATTCACCCTCTTTCATTTTCACTTTGTCTGATTTTAGTTGGCCTTATCTATTCTGAGGAAGTCAGTTACCTTGTGTAGATTGCTACTATATCAATGCAGTTGCTCCCCATTTATTGGCATACCGAATTCACAGTCACTCCTAGTTCAGGTTGGTTTTATGATTTGCTAAAGGCTGTGTCATATGACATATCCTCTCTAGAAAAGAAGAATTAACCTTCCAACTATGAACTTTGGCACATGATGAGCCGTTCATAAATATTTATTGAATGAATGAATGAATAAGATAGATAAGAAACTAAGGGACCTATGCTGATAGTGGTTAATGATAATATGTCTTTATTTGTAAATAGGGCTTTTATAGACTAGAGTTTGAGATGAACTATCCTTCATACCATAAATGTGCTGATACTCTACTCTCAACGCTATTTCCTCCCATGCTGGTGATGAATCTGTAGTCAGTGTCCTACCATTACTCTTTTAGCTGGGCTTCCTTGTGAAATGAATGGCATACATTAGTGGGTAAACAGATGCTTTGCCTCCAGGCTTCCTCCTTCCCAGGGTCTACCTCTCCTTAAACACCACACATCAATCCAGTGGAATTCGGGGTAGTCTGATTATGAAACAGTATACAATTAACAGTGTCATGGGGACGGAAATTGTGACCTCATTTGTATAGTACTTGTAACCAGTGAAGGGATGACAAATTTTTGCATTGATAGGAGTTGAAAAAACATACAGCCTTTACAAGAATGCTTCAGGAAAGGGCTTCAAAAGTAAAGTAAATACTCTACCTTCTTACTCACAACTAAATTTCTGAAATTTATACTCACTAGTAGTAAGGGAAATCTTGAAATATCATTGAAGTCACCTACATTTCCTACTTGTATGTATATTATACATCAGACAGAAGAGACAGGGTGGGAGAAAGAAAGGAAAGAAAATATAACTGAATTGAAAATGCCTGCAATGTCTACATCTTCTGCCTCAAAAGTCTGTGTCTTTTTTGACTAAAATTACTTTCAGAAAGTATTAGTTTCCTGTGCTTAAAGGTTTCTTGGAATGTCATGGCTAAAAATGAATCAAACTCCTGGCTAATATCCTTCAAGACAAGACAATACAAGATGATATTACACTGCTTGCTTAGGCCCAGAGCTTCTCCCATCTAAAAATAAAGAAGTATATTTAACATGAAAGAAATGCTAAGCCTTTAAAGAAATCTTGGTTTTACTTGTTACATGAAACTCTTGGGTGCATAGAGTCAGCTATATTTGTCCCAGCCTTGTCATAGTTTTAGGCACTTGTAGACATACCAACGAGACATCTTGTTTAAATTAACAAGGCTCTGTGCTTTTCAGAGACCCTGGACTAGGAACAAGTCGCCTCAACCCGGCACAACCTCCCAACAAGCTGGCAACTCCAGATGAATGTCAAGTATTTGCAAGGCAAGGTTGGTTGAATGCCACTGCCTCTCTGTTTCATCACTTAAACCTTAAAATGAGGTATACTTTTTAAACTGTATTTTTATACTCTATGTGAAGAAAATGTGTTTTCTATATGCTTTATTTATTTTTTCTATATTTCTATATATCAATGGACCTCCATTCAGTTCATTTGTACATCATTTTGGAAAGCAAGTTGGTAAATGTATCAAAAGTCTCCAAGTGTTCACAGCTTTCCTCTGAGTAAATCCAGACCTTGGATTCTTTCCTAAACAAAGCATCCTAAACATCCAAAATGTTATTGCAGCATTATAATCCTAAAAAGACCTAAGTGTCTGACAAGAAGGTGTAGTTAAACACAGTATAATTGTATTTACAAAGCGTTTTTAGTAATATAGGCAAATGTTTGTTTTCTCTATTAACTGAAAAATTGGGAGCAAAATTATTTATATAATCACAGTATACATAGTGTGAGCACAATTCTGGCAGATAGTAAGCGTTTTATAAATATTTGTTAAATGAATCAAGGAAAGAATTACAACTATGCTAAAAAGAAGACTCTTGCATAGAAAAAAGATGCTGAAAGTTTCTTATATATGGATATGGTTGTCTCCGGATAATAAAACTAGACATAATTTTTTTCTGTATTTTATGAATTATTATAATTAACACCTAACATTATCATAATAAGAAAAATAAAATTTATTTTGTAAAAGAATTATGTTCAGGAGCATATTCTAGAGACTAACATATAAGAGAAATTCAATTGAATATTTAAGCCTTCATTGTTTGATAACTTTTTAAAAATATGGCCTATAAGACTAAACTACTTATGATATTCTAGTCCACTGTGCATATTTAAAAACCATATCTTTTTATTAATGGCATTCCTGAACCATGGACTGAAAAAAAATAAAGACTAGCCTTCCTCTGAAAAAAAAAAAAAAAAGACTAAACTACATTTTTTGAGAAATGTCATGTGTGGCAATAAAATATTATTTATCATTATAATCATACCTACTCTTTATTGAGTAGTTAATTTATGTTGGGTTACAAAATAACATTCTATTTCATTGCTGTGTGAATCTCAGCCTGTTAATAGTGGGGTTATTGGATAGGAATGCCTAAGACACTTGCCTGGACCTTACGACTTATGATAGCCCCCACAGATGTTTCCCCAACCTGTACCAATGTTGTGGTTTTTATCATAGTTTGTGGGTTTTCTCGTGATTGCAGCACACATCTCAGCAATAAACATCAGGGAACTCTGAAGAACAAGACTTGTTACTCACAGGTCCTAGAGGGTACACGGCTTGCCCAAGGGCCATGTACCCATGTGACACTGAGGTCAAAGTGGAAGGAAATGCAGACCAGGAGCTTTGTCTTTATTAGGGCCCAAGGGTTGGGTATCTAGCGTTTTGAGAGTTCACTGTTTATTGGTGAATTTAAAATTCAGAGCTGGAATGAGGGTGTGGGTAGGGAGAAGTGGAGTCACTCAAGTGATGCGTTTTCTAGGTTACTCAGGGCTTTCTGAAAGGAGACTTTCATGACTGGGGGCAGCCTAGTTTCTTATCTAGATGTTTTGATGGTATCTGTGTCATGCATCTTGCAATATGTTTATTTGAGATGAATGTCTTCAAAATGATTGCCTTGGCAACCAAAAGTATAAGGTCAGGCANTTCTTTCCTTATTTGGGGTCTTGCACATGGCTTGCCGTGGTTATAAACCCTGAATTGCATTTGTTTGTTGATACCAATTAAGTCCACTTTTGCTGGAGAAATAGCTGGCAGTCTCTTTGTTTTAGGTTAACAGCCTTAATCGGGCTTCCCTGATAGATCAGCTGGTAAAGAATCCGCCTGCAATGAGGGAGACCTGGGTTCAATTCCTGAGGTGGGAAGATACCCTGGAGAAGGGAACGGCTACCCACTCCAGTATTCTGGCCTGGAGAATTCCATGAATGTTATAGTCCATGGGGTTACAAAGAGTTGGACATGACTGAGCAACTTTCATTTTCAATAGTGTTATGGGTGCTGACAGACATTTGTGGGTGCACAAAAGAGGGATGAGAAATATGTAGTCACAGGAAGGGCTAAAGATTGAGCTAAAGCTATAGAATTCAAGTCCCCTGTTGCCTGATCCACTGGGTTGGAGTGAGGGAGGAAAGGCCAGCTGGGGACTCAGGTCAAGGTTACAAGACCTTGGCCTGGCTTCTTCTTCAGAAACCTCAGGTCAGGAAATAGGCTTCCTCCAGCTTCCTGAAGCCTCCCAAGGCAGACATTTGAGATGTTTCTCATTTATATATATTTTTGTATGTTCACATACCATTTTACCAACAGCACGCTTTTTTACAATCCTTTCTCTTCTATCAGTCCTCTAAGTTTCAATGCAGATTTTTTAATGCTTATAAAGCACATGGCTTTTTTGTTTGTTTAGGTTTGGTTTTTTGTTTTGTTTTTTTGAGGAAAATGGCCAGAGAAACCTGTTTCCATAATGATAGAAAACTTTGACTTTAGATCTTGCTGCCAGACTCCTGTCAGATATTTAAACCAAATGGTTTCCTTAAATTAAGGGCTAAAAGAGAAAAAAATGGAAGGTAGTATTTCTTCAGATATAAGACATTAGAGTATAGTGGACAGTGGTAATTTTTTGAGATCTAAGTTCATATTGACTACTAAATATATCTAGACTGATCATAGATTCCAAACAAAAGTGAAAGGGAATGTTGATCAGTTGTGTCCTACTCTTTGCAACCGCATGGACTACAGTCTGCCAGACTCCTCTGTCCATGAAATTCTCCAGGCAAAAATACTGGGGTGAGTAGCCATTCCCTTCTCCAGGGGATCTTCATGACCTAGGGATCAGACCCAGGTCTCCTGTATTGTAGGCAGATTCTTTACCTTATGAGCCACCAGAGAAGCTGTTTATCGATGATGACAATAATGCTACCTAAGATTTTTTGAGAACCAGCTATACACCAGGCACTCTTGAAAATTCTTTACACAGATTTACCTCCGTTAACCATTATGCCAATGTTCTGAGGCAGAAAAATCCTCTAATCTTCATTTTACCAATGGCTAATTGTGAAAACTTTGTGTTAACTATTTTCAGAAGCCATTTGATATCTCCAGAAAACAAAATCAGACATACTCTTAAGGGTGAAGCAATTTCTAAAGAAGTGATTTAGTTGCAAGTTGGCCCAAATATTCTGTTTAAACATTATGGATTTTTCTCAAATTAACAGAATCCAGTAACTTTTAGTTAAGCACTTATACACCATGCCCTGGGCTAGGGGCAAATTAATTGTACCTTTATATATCTGTGAAACAATCTGCCCTCAAACATGCTGTAATAAAAATATCCTTACAGTGATCCATCTTAAATGGACATGGCCCTAAGGAAGTGACTTGAATGTAGATAATTAAGTGAAGGAGGAGGGGTAAGCATTCCAGAGGCGTCCTCACCTCCTGTTTGCACAGATTTTACCAGGGGCCATCCACTTACTAACCCTGGGCTGTTTTCAGGAACTGCCAAGTACACTAAGTTCAGGGCCCTCCCTCTTCCTATTAACTTTATTATAATGGTTTCCAGGGTTTAATAAACAAACACAGGGCTTAGCAAAGGAATCAGCTATCATATTACAATAGCCACAAAATTTTACCATCTAAATTAATGGTATTCAAGTCAAGTATTTCAATGAGATGGATTTTAATAGTCTTCGCAGAATTTTTTAAAAATAGAATCCGTTTGCCCAAATCCTGAATACCTCCTCCAGTTTTTTCTGCTGGTAAATAAAAAAATAGCACACCTCTTTAGGGTGCTTCAGCCTCCTCCACTGAAGTGCAAGGTCTTCAGTAGACAGATGGTAAATTGAAACCAAGGATTCTAAGGGTCAGGCTGCTATGGAATGAATCGCTGACCAGCTTTGCTTCCTCCTTGAGTCTCTTCACAAAATAATAAGTGACAGAGGAAGAATTAGAATTTGTTACTTCCACAGTAGTGTCCTTCTGTGATACAACAATAACTCGTGAGAGACAGATGATGGAAGGAGTGTGAAGGCTTCAGACCTGGGTGTGGGAAGAGCTTGGACACAGTTATCCAAAATACGGTCTGGGCTCAGTAGTTGTGGCACACGGGCTGCAGCATATGGGATCTTCCTGGACCAGGTATTGAACCTGTGTTTTCTGCATTGGCAGGTGTATTCTTTTTTTTTTTTTTTGGCAGGTGTATTCTTAACCACTGGACCACCAGGGAAGTCCCTAGCTACTTATTTTAAATAATATTTAATAAAAGCACATCCTAATATAATTAGAAAAGTCACATACTCATATACTCTTTGGGGCTTCCGAGGTGACACTAGTAGTAAAGAATCAACTTGCCAATGCAGGAGACTTAAGAGACACGGGTTCAATCCCTGGGTCAGGAAGATCCCCTGGAGGAGGGCATGGCAACCCACTCTAGTATTCTTGCCTGGAGAATCCCATGGACAGAGAGGCCTGGCAGGAAACAGTCCACTGGCTTGCACAGAGTCAGACACAACTGAATCGACTTAGCATACACACACACACACACACACACACACACATATACATATACTCTTTGGACGTTCCTAATAATGGAATTTGAATTATGGTCCAACTACTAATATTGATAATATGTTAAAGAACTAAGTGTGATTTACTTGCTCCCTGGACAGCCAAGGTAATCTGACAAAGTAAAACCCTCCAAACTACAAGTCAAGATGTTTGACAGCCTTTTCCTGGTTCTTCTAAAATGAAATTTTGGCAGCAAATTTTGACAGGACCTCATTTCAAATATGCAAATAGAAGGACATGGATTATCACAAAAAGGACAATCCTGAGCTCAAGTATTTCCTATGTACGTCTAAAATAACTTCTAAAAAGTTGTTATTACCCCTAAAATGTGTGCACCTTAGGCTCTTAATTTCTTTTCTTTTTTTTTTGTTGATGCTTTTTTTTATAGCATAATAAGATAATATTTACAGCATAATAAGATAATACAGAATAGTGATCCCCCCAAATATTCTTTTTTTTTCCCATTTATTTTTATTAGTTGGAGGCTAATCTTAATTTCTTTTTGGAGCTCCCTCCATAAGATAACAAATAGCAAGGGACCTAACCTAGAGCAGGAATTGGGAAACCCGTCTCCAGGAAGCAACATTCAAATTTCTCAACTTGAAGGACTAGAAGTGGGAGGGAGAGGAGGGAGGAGGGAGGAATATTTCTAGAAGGAAGAGCAGTGGACACAAAGGGTTGAGAGCAGAAAAATGTCTGTGAGGCTAGAAGTTTAGTGTAACTGGAGGTCAGTACTTGAGAAAGAATTCAGAGGGTAGAATCAGAGACTGCTATGGAAGAATTTATCCCTTGGGAGAGAGGAAGCTATTGAGAGATTTTAGAAAGTGTTAAGCATATCTACTATTTCCCAGGCTTGGTTTAAGGATTTATGAAATGATGATTGTTAAGTACATTTGCAGCCTTTAAAAACGAGGATGAAGGAAATACGAAGGTGTTTCTATCTTTCCCCCCACATGGCAAATGCAAAACATCATCCATAAAGTCTTCAGGAAAGGAACTCACGGATCTCCTTTTAATCGTAAAGAGGTTCCCAGACATTTCTTCATGGCTCACCTGTGTAGTCCAAGTCATAGAGAATCTACAGGATTTAAGTGGCAAATGTCAGCATATTTATAAATGGCTTTGGTAGAATCATGTTTTCAAACATGCTTTTGCTCATAATTCTCTGTTAAGTGACAAGACCATCTCCTTCCTGTAAATTAGTTCTTCCAGAACATCTCAGTTTAGCCAGGTAAGAACCACTGAATGTTCACAAAACATCCTTTGTGATTGACTTCTGAAGTATACACCAAACAAGGAAGAGCATCCATGATCCATGGAGCCCCTGTAACCAGGCAAATCTGCGGCAGCTACTAAGCACTTGAGAGAAACGTGAGAAAATCTACTGTTGGGAAAGACAGAAGAAAATCCAATTCCAGGATCCACTGGTTCATGCTTCAACATGCCTAGGTAATCACCAGTTCTCCAGAAAGTACAGACAATGGGCACAAATGAATCTTCATCTACCTTTATCCTTTTCTAGCCTGAGGACAATGGATGATTATGACCACTTCTGTCTGGAACTTATAATCACTATGACTTTTCATCCATTCAACAAATTTTATTGAGCTTCTGCTCTGTTCTGGGTACTATGTGGGACACCAGAAAAGAGCATTTAAATAAGACCTAGTCCCTGACTTTGGATTTCTCACAGTGAGATGAAAGAGGTAGGCAGGTTATATTTAAAGTCAGGGCTAACAGAGCATTGGGCCTTCTTTGAAACTATGGGATATATGTTGTCCCCAGAACCAGGGTCAGAATGAAAAATAAACAGGAATTCCCAGCTGCAAGGTCTTACCAAACAATCCTCTTTACACAGAACAACAGTTAATCTTTAATAGGAAAAACAGGAAGCATCCTATTCAAATTCCTGGATGAAGGATGCAGGCTGAATATTCATTAGGGTGGAGGGGGAGGGGCGCCCAAGGGAGAAAATAGCAGAAAGCCAGAAACATCCATGGCATGAGAATTTCTCCAGTGGTTGAGATGCGTTTCCTAGACAGCTTCCATGGAGGAGGGATGTCAGGGTTTTCCTATTGTGAGACTAAATACGACAGTGATAATTAGTTTAGAGAGTAAAATATTCTTTAGTTCCTAATAATTGTCAGCTCACAAATTCTGTATACATTTTAACATTAGGCAAATGAAAGTAAGAGCATCATTTGCTTTAGGACTGTCACCTAAAGTCAGATTAAAGGAATATAGAGACAATACAAAATTGTAATTATAATGTGGTGCCACCGTGGGAGCCAGCAAAAAAGAATACACTTTCTTCTTGCTCTTTTTCTGGCAGTTATTAAGCTGCTGCTTTCCCACTCCTGATAAATACCATCCTTGGGCTTGGCTGAGTGGTTGGTGGACAGGTAAGCCAGAGGCAGACTGCCAGAGATGGGATCATATGTATACAGCAATTCTATAAACACAGCACAATAAAATAGCTGTGTGGAATGAATGTCTGCCTTTTTTCTCTCTACTCTTTGAAAAAGGAAGGAACAAGTGCATATTGGCCGCATAATTAACAGTCAGATGTCTTGCCTGATTGAGACATCATCGCTGAATGCAGCTCCTCAAAGGGACAGCTAGGAAATTTTAAAGGTGACCTAAAAACGGAATTTGAATATAAGAGTGGAAACATTCTTGCTAGCAATATTTAAGTAGAAGTTAAATGTACTTGGCTGTGCTGCACAAAGGAAATCAATGTTCTCTATTAGCTAAATTTGAGGTCATTTGCGTTTGCTTTCCCAGCCCCCGAGAAACCACAATTCTTTTGGAGTGAGTCACAGCTCTCTCACCTTCCTTCCCTCCTCCTTCCCCTGCTCACTCCACCTCCAGCCTACATCCTCCTGACAAACACCCAAAGCTTGGCAGGAGCCACTCTTTGTTCTCAAATGTCTTCCTGGGGGAACTGGACGGGGCAGTGGCAGTCTGACTCCCTCACAGCGCCCTCTGACACCACAGCCTCTTACGGGTATCAGAGGACACCCAGCTCTAGTATAAGGCGAGGGGGACTTAGACACAAATGACACTCCATTAAACACCTGACACTACTGTCACCTCCCCTTCCTCCCAGAAAGACACAGGCTAAGCCTTCAGGGGGTAAAAAAGAGTCACAGAAAGGTGACCTGCTGGAGAGAAGGGTAAGTATGGCAGGGTGTTAGGTAAGGTGGAGAAGACTAGAAGAGATTATTGATCATTTGATTTGATGGATACAGGTATCCAGACTTTTTTCTGTACTTCTTTCAAGGTGCCCCAGCTCCTTTCTTCCCTACTGTTCTATCTGCGTGCCCCATCCTACCAGGCACACCCTTTCCAAAGAAACCCTCAGGAGGAAAGATGAAGGTGATCACATACTCTTATACCCCTGAGCTCTCTTCCCAGAAAGTGAACATGCACACATTTGCAAAACATTTCAGTTTTTAATCTCCCCAAATCCTTCCCATAGTTCGTGTCTCCAAGTCAGAGATCAGTGTGCACTCAGTGGTCTGCGCCAGGATACTCCCAGGTGCAGGGCTGCCTTGGAATTCTGAACTGTCCTCCTTGCACACCTAGGACCCAACTGCTTGTGCTGCTTAGCGACTTCGCCCTTTATAAATCACTTCCACCTGCATCACTCCTTTCAGATCCTCTGGAACTTGGTGGTGTTGGTTGTCCTGTTTATAGACGAGACTCAGAAATGTTAAGGCATCATGCCTAATGTCAGTCCTCTAGTGAGAACGGAGCTCAAACTCCAGCTGCATGCTTTGACCCCAGAGCCTGCTTGGTCCTCCTTATCTTGCAAGCTTCTTTTAGCATCTTTTATGTTTAATCCCTCATGACTGGGCACTTAAAACATGACTCTGATCCAGATGCTTGCTAAAGAATTTGGGAACCTGGGAAGTTCCACCTTCAGGGTAAAAAATACTTAAAAAAAAAAAAATTCAAGGCATTCTTTGGCATTTTATGGCATGAACATATATACTTTAGGTGTATACACCCTTTTATATTGGCGGGTTTTAGTGACCCAAATGGGTCCTTCTATGTTCTAGCAAGACTTGGCTTGGTGTTACTCTTCGACACCCCTGACCTGCTACTCATTTGTGGCCATTCCACCCCTGAGCACAGGCCTCCCCAAGGCCAAACTTAAGGTGGGTCAGGAGCCTTGCATGTGAGGTAAGCAGCTGGCAGACATTAGCATGTTGGCAGAGTTAACTTTTCTTGGCTTTGTTCTTTTAAAGAATTTTATAAGAAAGCAATTTCAAATGAATCATTTCATCTCTCTTGAGACACAGTCTCCCTGTCTCTACATCAGGCCTGACTCTGGTTGGTCGTTCTCTACAAAGCAGAGCTGTGAAGAGGCCAGGAGTCCTTCCAAGGTTAGCAGGCTTCTGAGCTCCTGGGGAAGGTAAGTGCATTAGCATCCTGTGTGCTTCAGACACACTTCAGTTGTGTCTGACTCTTTGCAACCCCATGGACTGTAGCCCACCAGGTTCCTCGGTCCATGGGATTCTCCAGGCCAGAATACTGGAGTGAGTTGCCATGCCCTCCTCCAGGGGATCTTCCCGAACCAGGGATCGAACCTGTGTCTTTTATGTTTCCTGCATTGGCAGGTGGGTTCTATACCACTAGCGCAGTCCTGGGGCTGCCTTAACAGAGGATCACAGATGGAGTGGCTTAAACAGCAGAAGTATATCCTCTCACAGTTCTGGAGGCTAGAAATTCAAGATCAGGGTGTCAGCAGGGCCTGCTCCCTCTCGCGGTGCTAGGTAAAGGGCTGTTCCAGGCCCCTCCCCTGGCTTCTAATAGTTTCTTGGCTTGTGGCAACACAACACCAGTTCATAGGGAGTTCTGTGTGTATGTATGCGCGTGTTAATCTCTTCACATGGTGTTTGTAAAAATACAGTCATATTGAATTAGGAGTCCACCTGAAACAGCTCAGGTGCACACTCTCCCCTCCTAGAATTCTCGCACATGCATGTGTGCACTCATTAACATGTGCATGTGTGCGTGTGCACATTCACACAGACACACAGACACACACACACACACACACACACACACACTTGCACTCAAGTGAGCCAGAGAAGACCTTCGATATATGAGCTGCCGTCTGTTACAACCCTGAGATGTTGGAGCCCCCTATGTGTAACGGTGAGACTGTTCTTCACAGAATTCCCACAGCTAGGGAATTTAATTTGATGATTCTACTCTCATGAACATACTTCTAGAAAATAATTCTATTTTATTCTATTCATATATTCATACATTCTGTGATATTCTACTATATGTGTGTGTGTGTTTACCAGAGCTTTTCTATCATAACAGGAAAAAGAAAAACCTAAGTGCTAACATTATGAAATGCTTTTTAAAAAACATATTTTATCCATATAAAGAATTATGAATCAACTAATTTAAAAACAATTTTTGGAGATTTTGTGATGTCTTTGGGAAATGCCCATAAAATGATTTAAAAGAAAACAGTAGGCCATTAAATATTTAATGATTATTAAAAGAAAAATGTATACTAAAATGATAAAATTCTCCAAAAGGTTAATGGTGTTTACCTTTGAGTTTTAGTATTGTTAATGTTTTAATTTCCCTTTTTAGACTCCTTTGTGTGTTTTCTAAGCTTTGTATACTGAATGTGTGTTATATTTACAAACAAAAAAAAAACAGCAATAATGGAAGCATAAAAAAGAATTCTTGTCTGTTCTTTCCTGTATACCTTCCCAGCCCTCTGTTGTCCATCCCTGGGGAATTTCAGGCTTCTTTCTTTTGTGTTCATTTAAGAAGTAAACAATGTGGGATCCCAGGTCAGACTTGCTTTTATAAAATGAGAAGACCCTCTGGCTAAATTCCTCTTCTTTTTCCTCCCACCGCCCTTCTCGCTCCTAACTGCAAAACAGGGCATCTTGACAAACACTGCAAACAGCAACCTGGTCTTTGCACCCTGGCCGGCTTAAGTTCAGATTGCTTAGCCAGAGTTAAACCCCACCAGAGAGAAGGGGAGAAGGGCGGGGCAGAGGGTAGTGGAGGGGAGCGGAATAGGTAGATCTGAGATTGAGGCTGATTCAGGCTTCCTGGATGGAATCTGTCAGATTCTGGCAGAGATGAATGAGAAACTCAGGCCCCTTCCCACATGCTTGGAACCCTGGCCCTGAGCCCTGAGCTGTGCATTTTCTTTATCTTCTTTGTGGGCTGAAAAGATGAAATTGCTTTCACTGAAAGAAGTGGCACAGATTTGCTCATGTATTAGATTAACAGGATGCACCCATCAGACTGACCTCTGGACCGCCCGACTCAGTAGACAAGCCCACCCTGGTGCTCACAGACAGGGCCAGGTGCCCAGGTGTCCATCTGCAGTGCGTCTGGCTGGTGGGCTGCTGGGCTAGGGGCTGAGCCGGCTCCCCTTGGCGAGGGAGGTACAACTGACTGTTCAGTGATGTGCAGGAGATCACACAACTGGAGAGAGGAAGGGCTGGTTATTAGACTCAAATTTCCATCTCCCCACCGCTGTGAGACTATGACGTGAGGCTCTGCCAAGAGCTCTAGCATCTTCACATCTCCAGCCAAGTGTACCATGCAAGATTCACTCAAATAAACCTCTCTTCATCTTTCTCTTTCCCTTACCCTCCTCCCCAGCCCCGCCTCCCTCCCTTCCCTGCCTCCCACAGACCATACCACGGAACAGAAAACTCGCTTTGTTTCATCTCTCACCTGTTCTAATATATCTTAGGCTGAAACGCCACGGGGCCCATCTCTGATGAATATTAAGATTAAACTTCTCCACCTCCCAGCTTCAGTCTCTCCCCCAGTGCTCAGGAGTCGCCACCCCTCCCCTGCCACAAGGCTCTCCCCAGTTCCTCTTTCTCACACCCCCACGATGGTTTTGTTCCTCTTTGGCCTACATCCTTTCCCAGACAGAGGCAATGTGTTAACGTGTCCCCACCTGAGACACAAAGAAAGGGGCCTTTGTTATACCTGCAGGATCCTAAATATTATCATCATTTAATTACTGCCATTCTCCCAGGCTGACTTCTTGGCAGCAGGCTCTCCTTTCGTTAAACAGGCTTTTAAGTTTTCCCAGGGAGGCAGCATCAGAGATACTTTGTGAATGGAGACTAATTTGGGGGTGTTACTGCCGGTAAAAAGAGGTGACTCCAAGGTAATCAATCCCTAAAAGACAAACTGGGAGAAAGGTTATGCATTTCCTCCAGGCACAGATCATCTTTTGGAAATGACTGCAACTCTCAGAATCAGCATCTTGGGCACAAACCAGTGGACTGCATTATTACCTGGCCCAGATTCAATTCTTTTTTTCTTTTTCTTTTCCTCCAAGGAGAAAAGGAGAACTAGGTCGCACTTGCTGTGCGTTGGTTGCCTGGAATTGTTCTCCTGGTTGTGCTCAGGGAAAAGGACAACTTGACTTCAGTCTTCTGGAATGCGCATCAGCTGGGAGTGTCTGCTTGACCCTAAAAGGTTATGTCAGAAACTTTCAAGTTATGGAATGTTGCTTGCTCTGTAGAAACACCAGAGGATTTCACACCTGAAAGGACAACATTGCAGACAAAAATGTTCCAGATCCTGCCCTTTAGAAACGGGAACATTGATTTGCCGCATGTGTTAAGGTGACTGTAGGAACACAGAGAGTTATCATGCTGCCAGACACTTCTGATTTTATTTGGTCAAAGTTATAACCTTTGTGTTTCCTTATGGTATTCTCTTGGGAAAGCTCTGGTGATGGCTTCCTTTAGTGCTCCAGCTGGAGTGATCCTTCAATTGCACTCATTTGTAGCCACCTAGACGCAAAAAAAAAAAAAAAAAGCAAAAATCAGATCTCATTGACTATTCCTGATATTGGAGAACTGGAGAGTTATTATTAGCATGCCCAGGTTGTCTCAGGTTTCTCTGGTAACTCAGATGGTAAAGAATCCGCTTGCAATGCAAGTGACCTTCATTTGATTCCTGGGTTGGAAAGATCCCCTGGAGAAGGGATAGGCTACCAACTCCAGTATTCTTGGGCTTCCCTGGTAGCTCAGCTGATAAAGAATCTGCCTGCAATGCAGGAGACCTGGATTTGACCCCTGGGTTGGGAAGATCCCCTGGAGAAGGCAAAGGCTGCCCACTTCAGCATTCTGGCCTGGAGAATTCAGGTCTGAAGGACAGAATATAGGCCTGGAGGACTATACAACACATGGGGTCACAAGGAGTTGCTCACGACTGAGCGACTTTCACTTTCAGATGTCTCTGTCTGTCCTAATCTTTTTTTCTTAGTGTTATTACAGAGATATAATTGATATAACATTGTGCAGCCATAAACTGTACAACACGTGGACTTGATACATTTGCAAATATTGTAGAGCATTAACCATCATATTATTAGCTAAACCTCTGCCACGTCACATAATTAACATTCTTTTTTTGTGGCGGGAATGATTAAGATCCAATCTCTTAGCAACTTTGAAGGTTATAATACAGTACTGTCGATTTTAATCTCTGTGCTGTGTGCTAGATCTCTAACACTTATTTATTGACTGGCTGCAAGTTTGTTGCCTTAAATGGCATCTCTCTAAATCGCCCTCTTCCCAGCACCTGGTAACCTCCACTCTATTCTCTGTTTTTAAAAGTTCAGCTCCTTTTAGATGCCGCTTACAAGTGATATCATACAGTATTTGTCTTTCTCTCTGACTTATCTCACTCATCATAATGCCCTTGAATTCCATCCATGTTGTCATAAATGACTAATATAGTGAGTGGATTTGGAGAGCATCAAAAACATGATTCTTCTAAATTTCTTCCTGCAGTAATAGATTCCTAAGGAATCTAGAAGATAATTCAGCAAATGGTGCCGTACTTTGAAAATATTTTAAAAACCCAGGATGTTAATCCACCTGATAAGCACAGGAAACAAAATTTATCAGGCCAACCTAGAAGAAAGGGTGAATAAGCACATAAATATTAACAGAAGTAAATAGTTATAAATGTTGGCACAAGTATCACTTCTTCTTTGGGTCCTGGAGCCTTTTTTCAAAATCAGAATGCTGGACAGTTGAGTTCAAAAAATTATCAGACCAGAATTTTGGGTGAAAAGCAAGCACTGAGCACACCTTCTTGATTCCACCTCTTTCTAAAGCCCTGCAAAATAACACTACAAAGATTTTCAAAGACATAAATGCAAAGGACAATGAGAGAGGAGACAAGAACAAAAACTTTTGGAAGCCAGAGAGCAAATGAAAATTCACAGCCATGAAAATCCTGTCTTACTTTGTAGAAGCCTCCCAAAATCAGAAGCTGGTAGCACCAGATACTTCTGAAAACAGAGGTGGAGACAGAGCTAAAGCAGAAAATCAGTTGTTAGTTTGGCCCCCAGGTGGCCTCCCCTAATCCAAGCAGCAG